CTCTGTGCATTTTCTGAAGCCAAACAACTGAAGGTAGGAGGGTATATCTCTTGAACCTTGCAAATCTAAGCTGCCCTTCCTCGGATGCTGCTGCCCTGACCATGAGCTGAACTGGAACCACAGGCTGTGTCACCATGACACCTGGAACCTGACCAATGTGAACTCGCTGCTCTAGAGTGTGGGCGGCGGGAGTCTGGGCTCCTCCCCCGGTCTGTGAAGTAGCTGGTGCAACCGGTATCAACCCTGCCTGAGCCAACGTACCAAAGATGCTTAGGAACTGTGCTAAAGTCTTCTGAAGTCCGGGGTTAACAACAGGCGTCTCCGGTACCTGTCCCCCAACTGGAGCTATTGGCAGCTCTTCAACTGCTGCTCTAGTAGGTGCCCTAGCTGCGGCACGTGCCCCTCGTCGACCTCTGCCTCTAACCCTAGCGACATCTGCTCCGGGGGTAACATCATCAGGAACCGCAGCTCGTGTCCTCACCATTTGTGAGAGAATGGAATGATAAATTTCAAACTTCAAGATCAATGAACTCGCACGATGGGAATGAAGGAAGTGAAACTATCCTAATAGTTCCATAGCCTTTCGAAGATAAGTACAGACGTCTCCGTACCGATCCGCAAGACTCTACTAAACTCGCTTATGACTTGGAGCACCTATGAACCTAGAGCTCTGATACCAACTTGTCACGACCCAATTTCCGCTCCGTTTTGTATCGTAATGGCACCTAGTCTTAGGGACTAGGTAAGCCTAACATTTATTGAACATCAGTTAAATAAAGAAAATTTAACAGTCTTGATATCGAAATCTTTACCAAAAAAATACAATTTCCCTAAACCGGTAGTACAAGTCATAAGCTCTAAGGAGTTAGCTACAACTTCTAAATACAACTATTTGGAAATGAGTAAAAACAGTTGAATGCAAGTAAAAAGGTGACTCTGAAGCCTGCGAACGCAGCAGCAAGTTTATCTTGAGTCTCCTCAGCAATGATCTGCACAGCTACTAACGAACAATACCTGGATCTGCACAAAAAAAGTGCAGAAGTGTAGTATGAGCATACCACAGCGGTTCCCAGTAAGTATCAAGACTAACCTCGGTGGAGTAGTGACGAGGAACAGTCAAGACACCTACTGGTCTAATAAGCTGAACAAGCATAAGTAGGAATAACAGAACATGACATCTATCTAATGACTACACGATATGGCTAACAACATAGCAACTACAATAAGGAAGGAAAAACAGCAAGTAATAACGGAACACCATAATAAGGCACAGAAGGATGGACGGGAACTCAGCCCAAATCCAAAAAAAATCACACTACAATAAGGGCAAATAGTAGCTCAGCACTGCAATAGTTTCCACATCAAGCCTTAGCCAACAACCCCAATAAGTTAGTCAAATATTTCAAGTGTAAACTTTCACCCGTAAGTTTTTATATTGAAATCTCTAAAATATAAACCTTTCCAATAGGAAATTCGTTTGAAATATACTTCTTTCGAATATTAACTTTTCAAACAAATATCCTTCAAACATAGTTTCCTCAAGATAAATGTTTTTCAAAATTTACTTTTTAAATAAATGTCTCTCCAGCATAGTTTCTTCAAGATGAATGCTTTTTAAATACAACTTTTAAAGTAAATATCCTCCGAGTATAGGTCACCCTGTGACACCTAAGTATAGAATATTTAACAGCTCCGAACACAGATACACCAACAGGGGAATCTACCGGTCCCGTCCCGTAGTCCCAAATTTATTATGTAGTACAGGGGGGGGGGGGTTCTCCCAGAATATGTCCGTAGTCACAAAGTAAATATGCAGTATTGGGGGATCTCCCGGAATACGTCCGTAGTCCCAAAATAAAAATGCAGTACAGGGGGATCTCCCGGAATACGTCCGTAGTCCCAAAATAAATATGCAGTACAGGGGGATCTTCGGGAATACGTACGCAGTACCAAAGTAAATATGTGCGCAACCAACAAGGACAACCATTATAGCCCGACAGAAAACTCGTACATCACCAGAACAAGTACAAAGCAACAATGACAGCAATACAAAGTACGACTAGTAAATCAATACAAGAATTTTATATCACAAAGAAACGGTAGAACTCGTTCACAAGGAATAATCACGGTAAAGAATGCTAGGCGTGAAGAGAACAGCTTAACCAGGGAAAGACAAAAAACGTAGCAATGAATCCACGATATACAAATCATCAATAAGAAGCCAACACGAGTCAAATAGTTCCAAATAAAGGCAAGTCGTCAAAGATATAGGTTATCTAAACCCCTTTTGAGGTTGAGCAATTATGAGAGATATTCAACAATTCAAATAAGGGTAAGCAACAAAAGATAATCATAACTCCAATTAAGACTAAACAATTATAGGATGAGATTATAATAATTTCAACTAAAGATAAGCAGTTATGAAGAGATAGCATGACGATAGAAGAGACAAAATCTTCAGTTAAGTCAAATAAGAGTGAAATAGGCACTAAGAGTGAATCCTAAAGCAATAAATTCTTATTTAAGCATGTAGATGTGAAACTAGCAGATAGGAACTCAGTCATATCAAGAAAAACTTCATACACAGTGAATATAAGGACCTAAGAACCCTAAAAGGCCAACTATCCACAAATAAGTCCGAGCACACACTCGTCACCTCGGTACATGGACTACAATCAACATAGAAGACACAAATCCTAAGGGGAAGTCCCCCACACAAGGTTAGGCAAGATACTTACCTCAAAGACGACAATCCGCTACATTAAAATGAACTCCTCGGGTGAAAAGACCTTCAGACGGCTCAAATCTAACTAAAATAACTTCAATGCACAAATAAAACTCATAAGAAACTATTCCGGATCATAAAGTCTAAATCTTTAACAAAATCCAAAAATCGATCCAAAAGTCGACCCTTGGGCCCGCACCTCAGAACCTGACAAATTTTACAAAAACCGAATACCCATTCTGTTACGAGTTCAACCGTACAAAAACTATCCGATTCCGATACCATTTGATCCCTCAAATCATAATTTTTCATTTTAGAAATTTTCTTCAAAAACCAACATTTTCCTCAACCCAAAACACAAATTAAATGATAAAAATGAAGACAAAATCACGGAATAGGTTAGATTCTAGGTGAAGAACATTTACCCAATCGATTTGCTTGAAAAACCCCGAGAAGCTCCCAAAATCGAAGTCCAAAACTCAAAATATGAAGAAAATGGTCAAACCCTCGATATAAAGGATTCTGCCCAGCATTTCCGCATCTGCGGATACTTAAGCGCATCTGCGCTATCGCATTTGCGGGCAGACGTTCGCATTTGCGAACTTCACTTATAGGCCTAGGTCCGCATCTGTGGACAATTAGCCGCATCAGCGGCACCACAGAAGCGATATCAGGAGCGCAGAAGCGGGGCTCCTTGGCAGATGCGATGCGTCAACCGCAGAAGCGGTTACGCACCTGCATTCCAGCACTCGCAGAAGTGAGCTAGCTTCCAGGCCTCAAAGATCACATATGCGATCAGGCTCATGCAGAAGCGGAGCCGTACCTGCGCTCCAAGGTCGCAGGTGTGAAAACACCATAAATCAGACATGCTCAAAACCATGCAAAACATCCGGAACTCGTCCGGAATACACCCGAGGCCCCCGAAACCCCGTCTAAACACACAAACAAGTTCCATAACCTAAACCGGACTCACTCGAGGTCTCAAATCACATCAAACAATACCGGAAATACAAATCGCGCTATGAATCAAACTATGAACTTCCAAATCTTCCAACTTTGAAAACTCGTGCCGAAACCAGTCAAACCAACCCGGAATGGTGCCAAATTTTGCAGACAAGTCCCAAATGATAAGACGGAGCTGTTCCAACTCTCAAAATTTCATTCCGACCCCGATAACACAAAAGTCAACTATGGGTCAATCTTCTCCGTTTTCCAAACTTCAACGTTTCCAACTTTTCGCCGAATGTCTCAAATTACCCTACGGACCTCCAAATCTGAATCCAAGCATGCGCCTAAGTCCAAAATCACCATATGAAGCTGTTGAGATCACCCAAAACCCAATCCGAGGCCGTTTACTCAAATGTCAAAATTTCAGTCAAATTCTCATCGCTTAAGCTTCCAAAACTAGATTCCTTCTTCCAATTTGACTCTGAATCCGTTAATTGAATTCAACCGTGCACGTAAGTCGATACTCATATTATGAAGCTGTTCCAGACCTTAAGCCACCGAATGGAGCTTAATTTCTCAAAACGACCGGCCGGGTCGTTACAGACCATGGAAGAGAATTTGAAAGCAGAGCCTTTGAAGAATTCTGCAACGATCAAGGATACAATCATAATTTCTTAGCCACAAGATCACCCCAATAGAATGGGGTAGTTGAACGCAAGAATAGAACTCTGCAAGACGTGGCCAGAACAATGATATTAGAACATTCATTACAAATCATTTTTGGGAAGAAGCAATAAGCACAATATGTCATATCCTCAACAGATATCTCATAAGACTTATTTTGAAGAAGACACCATATGAATTATGGAATGTCAAAAGGCCTAATATAGGCTGCTTCCATCCGTTTGGGAGTAAATATTTTATCCACAACAATGGTAAGGATAACCTTGGGAAGTTTGATCCAAGGAGTGGTGAAGGTATTTTTCTCGGTTATTCTATTAATAGTAGATCCTTTAGTATTTATAACAAATGTACTTTATCTGTAGAAGAATTAGTGCATGTTATATTTGATGACAATAACACTACAACCGAGAAAGGAATCATTTTAGGTGATGAAGATGTTAGTCAAGAAGCATCACATATAAACAAGTCATAAAAGTCGATTGAGAATAAAAACATAGTCACAGAGTTGACTAGTGAACCTGTTAGCAACCGTACTGAACCACAAAAAGATTCAACTACTCCTGTAGCTGGAACGCGACCAAATAAATGAAGAAGCGAACCAGAATATCCTCAAAAGTTTATCATAGGGGATCCAAACGAAAGAATGAAAACTAGGGGAGCTCTCAAGAAGAAGGCAAATATTGCACGTATTTCTCAAATCAAACCAAAGAAAGTTGATGAAGCCTTAAAAGACTCCAGCTGGGTACAAGCTATGCAAGATGAACTCGATCAATTCGATAAGAATCAAGTATGGGAATTGTTACCTAAGCCAGCAAATGCTACTGTTGTTGGAACCAAATGGGTGTTCAGAAACAAATTGAATGAGGATGGAAAGGTAGTCCGAAACAAGGCCAAATTAGTAGCTTAAGGTTATTCATAGCAGGAAGGAGTCGACTATGATGAAACCTTTGCTCCGGTAGCATCGTTAGAATCAATACGTATTCTTCTTTCATATGAATCCTTTAAAGGTTTTAACTCTTTCAATTGAATGTTAAAAGTGCTTTCTTAAATGTCTTTATTGATGAGGAGGTATATGTAAAACAACCTCCTGGTTTTGAAATTTTCCTACCATGTGTATAAGTTGACTAAAGCCCTGTATGGACTCAAACAAGCTCCTCGAGCCTGGTACGAAAGGCTTAGTTCATTCCTAATTGGTCATGGTTTCACAAGAGGTAAAGTAGATACTACGTTGTTTATCAAAAGATCATCTAAAGGTAATCTCATTATCCAATTATATGTTGATGATATTACTTTTGGAAGTGCGAACTCTATCTTGTGCAAGGAATATTCTAATCTCATGCAAAGTGAGTTCTAATGAGTATGGTGGGAGAACTCACATTTTTCCTTAGATTTCAAATTCAATAATCTGAGGAGGGAACTTTTATTTGTCAGACTAAGTACACAAAGGAATTGATTCAAAAATTTGGCATGAGTAATGCTAAAGCAATTGGTACACCAATGAGTCCATCAACAAGTCTTGTCAAAGACAAGAAGGGAAATTCAGTGGATGAAATAAAATATCGTAGGATGATTGGCTCTTTACATTATTTAACTGCTAGTCGACCAGATATCATGTTCAGTGTGTGTAAATATGCTGGGTTTCAGTCAGCTCCTAAGGAATCGCATCTGACAGCAGTAAATAGGATAATTCATTACCTTATCAGAACTATTTCATATGGACTATGGTACCCACGATCTAACAATTTTAAGCTTGAAAGTTTTTCAGATGTTGATCTTGCAGGTAATAAAGAAGATAGGAAAAGCACCAGCGGAACATCTCAATTACCGGGAAAGGCATTAATATCCTTGAATAGCAAGAAATAAGGCTCAGTTGCACTATCCACAACCGAGGCTGAGTATATTGCCATTGGACAGTGTTGTGCACAATTACTTTGGATGTCTCATCAACTAGGTGATTATGAATTGTCTTTTAGACCTATTCAAATATGCTGTGACAATTCTAGTGCTATATGCCTTTCAAAGAATTATGTGCATCATTCTAGAGCTAAGCATATAGATATTGAGCATCACTCCATCAGATCATGTCATTAAGGGAGATATAGAATTGCCATTTGTTAGCACTATTGATCAATTAGCAGACATTTTTACAAAGCACTTGCTTGAGGATATATTATGCACTTTGAAATAATTACTTGGCATTGTTTCGCTTAATCTAAAAAATTAGGACTTATGTGTTAATTTACATTCTTTATATGGCTAATGTTTTCTTTTGTGTGTAAGAGTTCATTAATTGTGTGCCTCCATTTTCCATCTCTTTTTCCATTAGTCACAACTCTCTAGGAAGGAAATCAATCATCATGTCCTTTCACTGACGCCTTTTCCTTTTCTGTACTCAATAGTCAAATCTCCTTTTTTTAACCCTCTCAATCACTCCTCTTATTCACCGGTCCTATCGCTCAGAAACCCTTCTCCAAAAATTCTTCAATGGCAAAACACTCAAAAACTCTCTCTGCCTCCACCAGAAAAAGTACCCGTTCTAGGGAAAACCCTCTTCTCAACCCCCAGAACACGTAGACTTAGGTTCCGATCATTCTGAAGGGTTTGCCTCCTCTCAGGCAGAGCCGTCTGACCATACTCACCGAATGAAAAAGAAGTCCAATGGAAAGTGACCCATGGAAGATCCTCCAGAATCTTTTACCCTTAAGAAATCCAAAATAGACCTCTCAAGCTCTCTAGAGTCAGACTTTAATTTCTGGGATACTCCAAATATAGACTCCTTCATAATCCTCAAAGAGAAGCCCATTGCCCATGGCAGAGTTATCGATCTGAATGACATAAAAGCCCTCAACTGTAAAGTAAAAGAGCATTTCGAATTCCAAGGTTGGTCAAATTTCCTCTCTCTTCCGCCTCCTGAAGTCTATGAATCCCTAGTGAGAATGTTTTATGCTAATCTCCATTCTAACAAGCCTAATAAGTTAGAATCTTTAGTTCTAGGAAAGCGCATTGTTCTAGATTGTGCCCTGTTTGAGTCAATTTTTCAGTATAAGTATTATGGTTTTCCCATGCTTTTCAAAAATACCTAGCTTGAAGATTTTGAAATTACCTTTGACCAATCAAAGCGTTGCATAGACGAATCTCCCTCTGATTCCCTTCCTAACCAGTTAGGTCCAGTGATGTTAGTTTTGAAACTCGGGTTCTCGCTTACATTGTAGCAACAACCCTTCTCCCTCGCACTGGTTCATTATCCACTTTCTCTTAACGAGATACTTTTCTTGTTTACTGTCTAATGACCAAGATTAAAATTAAACTGTCCTCCTGGTTCATAAGCTTTTTAGTTGAAAGTGCTGATGACCCCACTAGTTTACCTTATGGTATGGTTATCACTCATCTCCTAGAACCTATAACATCTCTATTCCCAATTACCCCTTTATCTCTCTCACCCAATCTTACAACTCGAGAACTGTTGCCAGTATGGGGTATGTGTTAAGGGTACCTGGGTGAAGAAGCAAGAAGGAGAAATCATGACTGTTCAAACTGAATCAAAGGTCAAAGCTTCTGGTTCCCATCCTGGTGTGAGTAATCCTAAACTTGTGGAGAAATTGACTGCCATTGACAACAAGCTGACCATCATCAAAGACCTTCTTGCTTCAACTCAATCAACCATTGGGGATATTCATGCCATCTCCAAGGAGACAGGGTTCAATGTATCAAAGATAAGGGTCAACATTCTCAAGTTAGCAGAAAATGTAGTCAAATCCTTCAAGGAGGTGCATGACATAATCGATGGGGTGTCTATTTCAGTAAATGCTAGCTTTGATCATCTGAAGGAGGCTATTTGAAACACTCACTTACTTCTTGCGTCGTTAGTTGTGTATGGGTGGATGTTTCAGATAATTTTTTTGTTGTTTGGACTGATTCACCAGTCATTGGATATTTTTTACTCTATTTTTGTTTTGTTTTGTTGGACTGGTGCATTCCTATCACCTATCACTGCACTTATGATTGCCTAGTTTGCTTGCAATACTTCTGTCTGCCGTGTTTTGTTGCTGTTCTATGTGTGCATATTCCCTTTTTGCTAATGCCAAAAAGAGGAGAAATGAGATTACAGTACAGGTAGACAAGTAGTAGCAATTTTTGGTTGAGGGGGAGTCGAATGTTCTATTTTGCCGAGGCTGTTGAAGTGGAGTCTTGCCGAGGGGGAGTCAACTACAATAGTGAAGTAAACTGCTTTTATATGTTATTTTTCATCATCAAAAGAGGAGATTATTAGATGTAGATTTCAATGATGAAAAATAACATATTATTATGTGTGAGATCATGTGAGATGTAAAGAAGGAAGCGAGAAAATATATCAATGATGTATGGACGAAGATAAGAAAGGAAGGAGTAAAAGAATCAAGGTAATGATCTGTCAATGGAAGCAAGTAAAGAAGGTTCAATATTTAAGCAATATGATAACCAAGATAATTGGTATAAAGAAAGAAGGACCAAGATTTACAAAAATCTGAACTAAAATTACGCCTGCCCTGATTGCTGAAGATACGTGTCGAAAGAAGACAACTGTCAATCCCATGGATCAAGGAACAACTTAAGGATCAATTATAGGGGATCGTCTTTTGAAGAAGAAAAAGACTGGCAGTCATGGACCATCTATGGAAGCTCCGTACTTATTCTTGGAATAAATCATAACAGATTTAATTCCAAGGATCCATTCTCTTGGGATCGCAAATCTCTCAACGGTCTGCCAAAGATACATCAAGCCAAGCTCAAGTATATAATGAAGTCTGTCAAGGAAGAAACATATACTTTGATCGAATCACTATCAATCTTTTTGTTCTACTACAAACAAGCATTGTAGCCTATTCTAGATCTATTGTGTAACTAGGGAGAGAAGAAAGAGAGAAAATCACTGGTGAGGCATTGTATTGAGAAGCGAGAAAAGAAGTAACATAGTGACGAAATTGTTGGTGTATAACAACACCAACTCTCCTATATCAAGGAACTTCAATACTTGAAAAAGAACATCCTTGCAACCCAAGGGGACTGGAAGTAGGATTTACATTGAATCCCAACCAGTATAAAAATCTGTGTGTCTTTAATTTCTCATTTTTATTTCTGCTTTCATTTAGACTCTGCCTTTATTTTCAGTTGACTAATTGGTAAACTAGTCAACTACTTAGGTTACAAAAAAGAATAATCGACAATTCACCACCTCCCTCCTCCCAAGGGGGTCGTCTTTTGAAGAAGAAAAAGACTGGCAGTCATGGACCATCTATGGAAAATCCGTACTTATTCTTGGAATAAATCATAACAGATTTAATTCCAAGGATCAATTCTCTTGTGATCGCAATTCTCTCAACGGTTTGCCAAAGATACATCAAGCCAAGGTCAAGTATATAATGAAGTCTGTCAAGGAAGAATCATATACTTTGATCAAATCACTATCAATCTTTTTCTTCTACTACAAACAAGCATTGTAGCCTATTCTAGATCTACGAGAAAAGAAGTAACATAGTGACGAAATTGTTGGTGTATAACAACACCAACTCTCCTGTATCAAGTAACTTCAATACTTGAAAAAGAACATCCTTGCAACCTAAGGGGACTGGAAGTAGGATTCACATTGAATCCCAACCAGTATAAAAGTCCGTGTGTCTTTAATTCCTCATTTTTATTTCTGCTTTCATTTAGAATCTGCCTTTATTTTGAATCAACTATTTGGTAAACTAGTCAACTACTTAGGTTACAAAAAAGAATAATCGACAATTCACCATCTCCCTCCTCATTAGGGGATCGTCTTTTGAAGAAGAAAAAAACTGGCAGTCATGGACCATCTATGGAAGCTCCATACTGTGATGACCCGGCCCGTCGTCACGTGAGTTACCGCCCCGTTTCCCCCATATTTTGTTTCTCTACGTTTCAGTATCGGTATTTGAGGTGATCGGGTAGAACTGGATTGGTTTTAGTTGGAAATGAGGCACTTAGCCTCTTAGAAGGAAGCTTGTTTTGGAAAAGTCAACCGAAAGTTGACTATATAGTTAGAGGGCTCGGATGTGAATTCTGGTGATTTGGTTAGCTTCGGGGGATGATTTGTGACTTAGGAGTGCGATCGGAATTGAATTTGGAGGTCCGGTGTTGAATTAGGCTTGAATTGGCGAAGGTTGAATTTTGGCGAATTCCGGTTGGTAGGTGAGATTTCGATCCGGGGGTCGGAATGGAATTCCGAGAGTTGCAGTAGCTTCGTTAGGTGATTTTGGATGTGCGGCTAAAATTTCAGGTCATTTGGACGTCGTTTGGTTGGGTTTTTGATCGAACGTGAGTTTCGGAAGAATTTGATAAACTTAGGCTTGAATCTGTGGTGAATTCATGATTTTTGTGTTGTTGGACGTGTTTTTATGATTGGAACAAGTTCGTATGATATTTTGGGGTAGGTTGGTGTTTTTGGTCAAGGTCCCGGGGGGCCTCGGGGTGATTTCGGATGATTTAACAGGAAGTTTGGACTTAAGTTTTGCTGCAGAAAATTCACAGCAGGTGCAGCCCTGATTTGGTCATCGCGTTCGCAGGGGTAGAACGCGTTCGCGGAGAGATGGGTTGCCAGTGTATCGCGTTCTCGTGGGTGTCATCGCGTTCACGTAGAAGGGGCCAGGGGCCCTGCCTAAGTTGTTCAATGCGTTCGCGAGGGGCTGACCGCGTTCGCGTAAGAGGAGTGGTTTGTGAAACGCGTTCGCGTGGAGTAGGACAAGTTCGCGAAGTTATAAGACCTGGAGCATCGCGATCGCGGGTTGGGTACCGCGTTCGCGTAGAGTAATTTTTTGTCAAGGTAATTTTCTTCATCGCGAATGCGGAGGTTTGACCGCGTTCGCATAGAGTAAATAACTGATGGTCAGTAGGGCTTTTAAATCATTTTGTTCCGCGAAGGTTAGCCATTTTCCACCATTTTTGAACCACCTTGAGAGCTTTTTGGTAGAGTTTGAAGAGGATTTTGTCGGGAATTGATTGGAGGTAAGTCTCGTGACTTAGAAACATCATTTTATTGAAGAATCAACCTTTAATTCTTAGAAACTTGGGTAAAAATTGGAAGAACTAGGGCTTGGTTTTTGGAGAGTAAAATTGGAATTTGAAGAGGCATTTGAACTCCGATTTTGATGAATTTGATATGTATAGACTCGTGGCGAGACGAGGAATCCGGTGATGTGAATTTCGTAATTTTTTGAGAAGTGGGCCCGGGGCTCGGGTTTTGCCAACTTCGTGATTTTTGATATTTTTCGAGTCTTTTCAATTGGGTTATGACCCATTTGCCTATTGTGATGTATTCCTTGTGGTTTTGATCAGATTCAACGCGCGAGGAGGTCGTTTCGAGGGGAAAAGGCATAGCGAGCTAGACGTTTGGCCGGCTAGAGGTGAGTAATGATTTTAAATGATGTTCTGAGGGTTTGAGAACCCCGGACTTGCACAACTTGGTGCTATGTTGAGATGAGACACGCGCTCCATGACGAGCGCGGGGTCATTTACTATTGGGGACTGTGACTTGGTCCAGTCCGGATGATATTTTACCGCGTATTAGCAATGACTTGTTGTTTTCACTATGATTTGGGCTTATTGCCATATTTGGGGCTTATTGCCGACTGTTTGAACTCTTTATGAACTATCATCACTGTTTTTCTCACGGTTTGAGATATTATTTGAACTTAGTCCATGTGATTTACACTGTCTCATAAACTCAGCTATATTTTTACTCAAACCTTGAGTCCTAACTGATATTTGAACTACTGTTGAGCTGAGCATTATTGTTTCTTTACTATTGCCCGAGGGGCTTATGATTATTTTTGGACTGATTGAGGCCGAGGGCCATATGTGAGGATATGCTGAGTGATGTGAGGAGGCTTTCAGGCCTCGAGTGCATTGTGAGGAGGCTTTCAGGCCTCGAGTGTATTGTGAGAAGGCTTTCAGGCCTCGTATTGATATGTTCAGGCTTTTAGGCCTTGTTGATAGCACTTGGGCTGTAGGAGCCCCTCCGGAGTCTGTACACCCACAGTGAGCGCGGGTACCCATCTAGAGTGATTAAATATTGAACAGTGGTAACAATGACACTGTTATACGTGTTTGGTCAGGTAACAATGATTGACCAATCAGGTAACAATGACTGACCAGTGGTAACAATGGCACTGTAATACGCTTTTGGTCAGGTAACAATGGCTGACCGGTCAGGTAACAATGGCTGACCATACTTGAGCATACTTGTTTTATTGATTGTTTTTAAAAAGATTTTTCTTCCTATATTTCACTGGCTTCTACTGTTTATCTGATGTTGCTGCTTGAGATAGCATTATTTGTGCCCTTGTGGGATTTTATGTTCTCAGTCGTTATTTAATTTTATTACTCACTGGGTCGGAGTACTCACATTACTTCCTGCACCATTTGTGCAGAGACAGGCACAGCTGTGTTCGTACCTGAGCGCTGATTTCCTTCCAGACCAGGCGGACTAGGAGAGACGAGGTAGCTGTCGACGTCCACAGCCACGTTCTTCCTTATCTTCTGCATATTTTATTCATCTTCAGACTATGTTTCCAGACTTGTAGTATTTTTATCAACTCTGTAGTAGCTCGTGACTTGTGACACCCCGATCATCGGGCTGATTTTGGGATGGTTTTCCCCGTTATGTTACGTTTATTTCCGTACTTGTAATTAATCAGTATCTATGGTTTAAACCTATTATGCTAAGAAATTGTCGAAAACAGTGTTGATTGTTCTGGGGCTGGCCTTGTCTTCACGAGAGGCGCCATCACGACGGGCGGGAATTTGGTCGTGACACATACTTATTCTTGGAATAAATCATAACAGATTTAATTCCAAGGATCAATTCTCTTGTGATCGCAATTCTCTCAACAGTCTGCCAAAGATACATCAAGCCAAGCTCAAGTATATAATGAAGTCTGTCAAGGAAGAATCATATACTTTGATCGAATCACTATCAATCTTTTTCTTCTACTACAAACAAGCATTGTAGCCTATTCTAGATCTACTGTGTAACTAGGGAGAGAAGAAAGAGAGAAAAATCACTGGTGAGGCATTGTATTGAGAAGCGAGAAATGAAGTAACATAGTGACGAAATTGTTGGTATAACAACACCAACTCTCCTGTATCAAGGAACTTCAATACTTGAAAAAGAACATCCTTGCAACCCAAGGGGACTGGAAGTAGGATTCACATTGAATCCCAACCAGTATAAAAATCTGTGTGTCTTTAATTCCTCATTTTTATTTCTGCTTTCATTTAGACTCTGCCTTTATTTTGAGTCGACTAATTGGTAAACTAGTCAACTACTTAGGTTACAAAAAAGAATAATCGACAGTTCACCACCTCCCTCCCTTCCCCACCCCCCCCCCCCCCCCTTTCTCCCCACTTTCAAGCCTCACTTCCCGCATCTTATCCACCACGGAGGCCACTCCCACCTCGTTCCGAATATCCTTATTACTATTCAAATCGCTCTTAGTATGCCCGCACATCCATCTCAACATTCTCATCTCTGCTACTTTTATCTTCTGAACTTTATATAATTTATTTTAATTTTATTTACACAATATAAATTTCGTACAAAAAAATTTCAATTCAACCCCGTCGATACGTTTGCTATGCACTGCCCAAACCACTTTCAAAATACTTCCAAAGTTAATAACTTCTTGACAGTTCAACACCATTAAGTGATTCCCCACTTCCATCTTCCTTCTAAACCACCTTTTTAATGAGAAACTGATTCTAATATACATAATGCCCTCTCTGTATAGATATCAAAAGCACAATCATAGTTGCTTTCTCACTCCATTTTTTCCAAAAAATTCTTCTCTATCTATTTGTTAGCAAACAGCACAAAGGGCATTCTTGTTTGTACAAAGGAAAGAAAAGATGTCTTCTACTTGTGGGGTTCTCTTCCTCCTTATATTCCTTATGTTAATTACAAGTTTTGGAGCCTCAAATTCCCACGTGAGTTCTTTCACTATTCCCTGTCAATTCTTGTACAATCTTTGTAGTTGTTGTTTTTGCTTTCCAATATTACTTCTACGAAAGGAACCTTGACGTAACTGGTAAAGTTATTGTCATGTGACCAGGAGGTCATGGGTTATAGCCGTGAAAACAGTCTCTTGTAGAAATACAGGGTAAGACTGCGTACAATAGACCCTTATGATCCGGTGATTCCTCGGACCCCGTACATAATGAGAGTTTAGGATACCAGGCTGCCATTTTTTAATATTACTTATACAACTACTCAAGTACTGCAGTATTGCTTTTGGTTTGAACTATGTATAAATTCGCGAGGAAATTTTTTAAATTTATGTATATAATATGATCACGCTCATTCTGAACCATTAATTGTAGGCAAAAGGGGAAGAGCCGGAGATGGTACCAATAATTGAGGAGAAGATGATGGTGATGTTAAATGAGACAAGAAGGAAGCTTGGGAGCTTCAAGATTTGTGCAATCTGCACTTGTTGTGGTGGAGCTAAGGGCTATTGTGTGCCTTCTCCTTGTTGCTATGCTATCAACTGCAATATACCACATAGGCCTTTTGGTTTCTGTTCTTTCACTCCCAGAACTTGTAATTGCTTTGGATGTCATCTCTAAATCCAACTTCAAATTATTTCACTTTCTATAAAGAAAAAAAAAGAAAAAAAGAGTTGGAGGATCTGAATTATAAGTATTAGATATTTTTGGCATTAATTCTGTTTGATTGTCTAAATGAAGAGGTTATGTGTAGGTTTTATTTTTTGGATTAAAATTTAAGGGAGAGCTACTTCCAGGTAAGTTTTTTTCTACTTGGTTGGATTTGTCCCTTAGAATTAGTGTTACAACTATAATTGTTTTTTGTTATTACTTGTGAAGTAAAGATATTATATTATATATAATTGTGTGTGAGAGTTTTATTGATGATAGTTTCTGTCATTTTTAATACACATTTGCTTAATGAGTATGTCTATGAGGTTCAGTTCTAGGCTAAAGATATGGCTTTTTTGGTCATTAATTACGTGTTTACTCTAATGGTGGGGTTATTTGGCAAGATTTCAATCTAGATGCGTCTTTAAAATTGCTTATTATTGTTGTCAAAAGGGTCTTCTTGTTTAGAGGCGGATTAAGAATTATATTAGATTAGTTCAATCTTTAATGTTCTTAACACCGGAATATTATACTTTTGAAATTATGGATTCAAAATTTTAACACTTCTTGAGACTTGAAGGGGAATCTTGGAACAAGGGTAAAGTTGTCTCTGTGTGACTTATAGATCAAGAGTTCGAGCCGTGGAAGCAGCCACGAATGCTTGTATCAGGGTAGAGTGTCTACATCACACCCCTTAGAGTGCGCTCTTCCTCGGATCCTGCATGAATTCAGAATGCATTATGCACGGGTTGTCCTTTTTTTTTTTTGAAATTTTAATAGCTTTTCACATACACATTCATTCATCCGGTTGAAAGAATTGAAATAGGCTATATCCGCAAAAAGTTGTTTGTGATATTAATTCCTTCATTATCAAATGACCCAATTTCCACAAGTACCAGCTGTATATAGATAAGAGAAAGAAGGAGAGAGAGCTTTCAATTACATGAAGCAATAAAGGAATTAGATGGGGCTTTTATTATTGGTAGTGAAGAGAATGAATGTGTTATTATCTTTTGTAACAAACTCCAACAATGATGGGTGGGTGGAAGTTGGGCAAGGCAGTTAACACAGCTACTATTTGCTATTACAATAATGCTCGAGAGTTTAATGATTCAATAGTACCAATTTTTCTTTTCTTGATTCTTCATTTTTATTTGCTTTAACATCTTACTAAAGTTTGCTCTTTTGTTTCAATATTATTTGTGTTCACCACTTATTTCTTCTTCTTAATGTTGTCCCAAGTGCACAAAAGATTTTAAATTTCATCTTGTTAGATTAAATAGCGAGTCGAGGATAATGAATTGTGTACCTTTATAACACAGTAAATACTGTTGAACTCACCATCGAAAAAGTTGCCCCAAGTTAAATTTTGTTTTGCTAGGAAACAAAGTTATTATCCACGAATTAAATGCCTATTGTTTGTGTGTTTTTTGAAAAGGAGAAGGAGAATTTTCATCTTTTGCTATATCTTTTAATGTAACTTCGGATAATTGCAAGAGAAGTTACGCGTATTCAGTTTATTTTATTTTATTGTCCTTTTTTCTCCTCCTAATCGGGTCAAGTTAGTCTACATGAGCGACCCAATATCCAATACATCTGCACGTAAAAATAACACGGGCTAGCCAGTTTTCAGATTTGTCATTCAAAACTAGCCAGCATTTGCAAAGTTATTGAAAAATAGCCACTATTTTGTTGCAACACGGAAAGTTCCAGCATAATATACTGGAGATCGATGCACCTGTATATGAACTTCCAACATATTATGCTGGAACTCCAACACGGGGAAAGTTCCAGTATAATATACTGGAGTATTTTTCCGGATTTTGAACAGTATTTTCGTTCAGATTTATCTTTGCATGAAAAGTGGCTAAATTTCGATTACTTTTAAACCTGTGGCTATTTTTGAATGACCACTTGTAAATTTGACTATTTTTAAATTTCTCCCCATCTGCACTGGTTACCTATTTAGTCATAAATTGTGAGTACAAGATTATCTTTCAAGCTTTCATCCATGAAGAAACGAAACTAGTAGAAAAGGTTATAGGAGGAAAAGAAAATGGTATGTTGGACTTAAACTATGATAGACATATAAAAGATCGGTCCGCCTCAATTTAATGCTGGCAAAATAGATAAAATATCCGTGTATCCGCGGAATTCATCTATTTAGAAATGGGCTGGATAGCTAATAGGAAAACTTACACAAATGTCCCAAATAAATCTCAACTTACCAACTTCTAGCCATTAGTCATAGACTTACCAAAACTAGCCAACAAAAATTGAAAAATCAAATAATAAGGTTCTTTCTCTCAAAGAATCACATGCAAAAATCACCTTCCATATTTTTAAGCGTGATTAGCAACATTAGATACAAGACGGAAAGGAAATCTCATGGACGGGGTAGCAAATAAGGTGATGAAATATAAAAATCTATACAATATTCCAAAAATCTAAACAAAAAAGAAACTTTTTCAGTGGGTATAGTTGAAATTCATTGAAAATATATAGATAAGTCAATATACAAAATTTGAGGAAGATTGGAGGTGATTTGGCCTGGTTTTGTATCAAAATTCGTAATTAAATTGAGTTCAAAAAAGTCTTCTGCAACACATGTATCAAACATGTATCACGCATGTATCACACATACAGGTATACATGGATATACATGTCATACACAATTGATACAAATATGATACATATGTGATACACAAATGATACACAGTGCGATACACATATCATTTTTTTTTCATGTTCAGCTTTTACTTCGAATTTTCCATTCAAACCACCTCAAAACTTCACCAAATCATCCCAAAACTGAGATTCAAGCTCCTTAAGTTGTGCCCAATCTATTCTAATAACACCCACTCAAAACAAAGCAAAAATTTGATATTTTTTTGCTACAAATAGCTAATTGGCTAATTTGGCTAATATTAGTAATATTTTATCAATTGGCCAATTTTTGTAATGAGCTACTTATAAATGGACATACCTGATAATTTCCCTAGCTAATATAGTTAATTTGGATAAAATATGCATACATCAAAATCCATGTAACCATGGGTCAAAATGGATAAATCAATATTCCCCACATTGTTAGATTTCGTATTTATTACTCTTACTGCTTTCTAGAATAATTAATTGTATAGTTTTAGGAGGAGTCTAACATTTGATTTAATATAATTTATAATATTTTAATTGTAGAAAGAGTCTAGTAATTCAGTTGTAGAAGGAGTTCACTATTTTTTTTTTTATTTGGCTATTTGAAACTCTATGATTAATAAAATTTAAGAAATATATTTTCAATCATACTGTCAACCTTCTTGCTGCTTATATATTTTCAACCAAATCATAGCAATGGTATTAGAGCCTCCATTAAGCTTGATGGATCTGTGAATTCGCTGGGGAAAAAATCAATTTCAATTATTTTTAAAACCATTTTCAACTCATACATACATTTAACCCATACCTACTTTTAACCCATATCAATTTTTAACCTTATTTTCAACCATGAAAAGCTGCAATCTCTTTTTGAATGCCCCACAAACCTTCAATGGTTGAAAACTATCATATTTGGTCACTGAAGATGCAATCTCATCTTAAGCTTATGATCTATGAAAAGTTGTACCCTCCGAACCCTACCTTTGCTAAATCAAAGCTCATTTAATTTTAGAAGAGAAAACCAAAAAATACAAAACCAAAACTATAACTCAAAATTCAGTTGTAGATTCAATCTTCTGTAAAATTATTCTATGTGAGACAACGGAAGAAGTTTGGAAAACTCAAATAGGAGTATCAAGGAAGTGAACAAAGTAAACAAAATCAGATTTTGTATCTCTTAAGATGCAAGAGGATGAGACCATCGTCAAGTATTCTGATAGAATTCTTCAATTGTCAATTAAATTAAGTTGCTTAGCGAGGATTTCAGAGATGATAGAATAGTTGAAGAAATTCTTGTGACAATTCCAGAGAGATTCGAGTCCAAAATTTCTTCTCTAAAAGAATCTAAAGATCTCTCTATCATATCTATTGCAGAATTAACAAGTGCTCTTCAAGCACAAGAGCAAAGATGGGCCTTCAGACAAGATAAATTTATGTAGGGTATATCTTATGCCTTTAAAATACCAACAAAAAAAAGTCGATTATATGCATCGCAAATACTGTAAAAAGAAAACATGTCATATTACAAAAGTGTGCAAGTTTAAAAATATGCATTCACAAGCACTAATAGCAGAAACGGGAATTGAGGAGGATTAACTTGTTTAGATTACAACAACAGAAGCAAGGAGGAGTGTTGAATTTTACATCTGTAACTGCTACTATTTTCTAGAATAACTAGTTGTCTATTTTAGGAGGTTTAATATTTAATTTATCAGAATATTAATATTTTAAATTATAGTAAGAGTCTAATACTTTAGTTATAAGAGGAGTCTACTATTATGTTTATTTGACTATTTAAAGCCATATGATTAATAAATTTTTTGAGATAATTTTCAATTACAATTTCGGATAAAGTACGGAAATGTCCAATTCACTCAAACTTACCAACTTCTAGCCCAAAATTAGACACTTACCAAAAGCAGCCGAACATTAGAGATACACGCAAAGAAGGATTCTTCTATCCAAGAATCACGCTAAAAATCTTTCTTTCCTGTTTTTAAGCGCATCAAATTCAAAGAGACCTACATTCTGTAAATCACGACCTTCTCTCCCAAAAAATTCTCAAAAGGAGCTCCGAATTTCACTCAAAAATTGATCAACTTCACTGTAGAAGCAACAATGTCCTTTCGTGATTTCTCTGTAGATACAACTTTCATGAAGGAACTACGAACTACAATCAAAATCAATCAAGAAATTAGTGAGTTTTGACCTAATTTCAGCTACTTCAATGGCAAATTTACCAATTTTCATTCAATATGGTGGTCGATGGAATGTTGACAACAGTTTTGTGGATTACAATGCCGATGCTGTAATAGTTACTCCAAATATAAGTTTTGAAAATTTTGTAGACGTTATTTCGAAACAACTTATGATAGATACTTCATTGAATGTTATTGAAATCAAATACACTATCCAAAACGGTTCTCCACCAATAGTGATACATAATCATATGGGTGTATGTGTATATCTTGAGCTGAAAAAAAAGCTCGAAATTCACAATGTATCCCCTTTGTATAACATCGAGTGAAAAGGATATGGACATGATCTGCTACAATTCAAATTCTGCTGTGATTTCCTCAGAATGTGCAGAAAGCTCTGTTATACAGGAGAGGTACAAT